TGGGACATTGGAATGTCCCATCATAAACTCCCTCTTATATATAAGTAGAATAGAATATAATATAAATATAAATATATCTACATGTACATAATGAAAGTTCAATGAAGTAATGATAAGAAAAAAGAAAGTGGATGTAAACTCTAACAGATTAATCTTCTTGGTAAAGATTACTTCATCTTCTTCCTCATCTCTGTTTCTTCTTCTTACTCTCATTCGTCTCCTTCTTCTCTCTCAATCTAAAACTCATTTAATATAGATATATCTATCCAAAATGAACATTAACCTTTACGCTAATAACAAATATAAATAAGACATTTTCTACTTAAAAACTATATTTGATTACTCGGTAATACACCTTTACACCTTTTAATGATATGTATTAAGCCATATTCAAAAATTATAATTGAGTTTTATTTAAATCAGTCGGTGACAAATTATTTATAGTTCTTAAATAAATAATAAAAAAATCAAATATTGTGTTTTTTCTTGAAAGAAAAACATGAGAATATAATTATGAGAATTAGATGTTTAAAAAAAGAAATTGATACTGAGACATTTATTATTATGCCTTCAATAACACATTAAAATTCTATTATAACTTATTAGTATATGATAATTGGTAAAATTCGTTTCACCAATTTTAACCACATTAATTAAATTTTGGGTAAAGTCTCATTTAATAAATTCCTATCTAAATTCGTAGAACAAAACTCCCACGTAAATTTCAAAATTAAAAATGTTCAAATTTTTTAATCTCCCAAACTAAATTCGTAGGTGTTAATATGAGTGAATTAAAAGATAAGCAAGGGTGTAAGTTAGTTAGGAATAGTAACTAACTGTTAGTTAAGTTAGTTATGATTCTCTAGTTAGTTACAAGTTGTTGTATATATATATATACTAGAAAAAATGGCCCGTGTCACCACAGGCCCAATATTATTAAAAACAAACTTATTAATATATTTCTGTCAACATAACAAATATTAGGATAACGTTATATATAGCATAAACTCATATGGAAAAATATTTTTAGTTAAACAACACTATATATATTTAAATAAAAGAAATATATTTATATTTTTTTCGTGACCTTGCTCTTTTTTTCCGTAACGTCTACTTAATTACTTCCTCTATTTCATATTAACTGAGTTGTCTGGATCTTTTTAATTGTTCAAAAATAATCGAATTGTCCCAAGTTCAAGACAGATGTTTGAATTTTTTTTCATATTTGCTCTTTTCTTTAATGGAGTTTGATATTTTTTAAGAGATAAATTGCACTACTTACAAAGTTATGTTTATGATTTACAAAAGATAATATTGAAAATTATGGTTTAAATTATGTCCTTCAATTTATTTTTTTAATAAATATGCGTTGTCTCACAAATTCAGTTAATATAGAATAAAGAGAGTGTAAAAAAACAATTGAACTATTCTTCAATAAGCGTTGGATCCTTACTGTTATTAAGAATCTACTATTTCATTGATTCATTTTCGGTGCAAAGCCTTCCAGCTAGGGAACTCTTCATCGTGGAGAATTCTTCTTTCGATAATTTCATTTGTATCTTCAAAAAATGTGACCGTGACTCATAAAATTTTCATCGATCGTCTTATGACTATAAATATTTTGATGATGTGGAAGACACACAAACACATTAAATTTTTGACTCATGAATCATAGTAATAGGCAATGAGAAATTTAATTCGAAAATAAAAATATTAAGTACTACAAATAAAATCTCGGCATTAGTTAAAAATATTTAGGATCAGTTTAGTCCAACAGAAATGAGAGAGGACATTGCTACTTGATCTTTGATATACTTCCGAGATTCATGTGTAACATCTGCAAAAAAAATAAAAAATATCCTTCATTTTCTCAAATATAATAAACATTGAGCAAAATTATACAATATATGACAGTTTAATATTAATTTTATTAACACTAAACAATACTAATTACCGCAAAATGTTCGAGTTCTACACGTTAGTTAATAATTTTCTCCACTTGAATATTTTCTTGTACAAAAACTGGCCAACGGGACCCACATCTATTTATATAGTATAGGCATTATACAATGGGTCCCACTATATTTACTGTCACTTTAGTGTAGGGCATTTTCCATAACTTTTATAGAAAAGAAGGTACGTTTCTTAAGTCATTAATATTGTGCAAATATCAAAGCACAAAAGACAGCCTTTTCAGGCAAACTTTATCTTATAAAATGCTTTATAGACAATTATACCCTCACACTTTTCACTTAATGTCAAAAAACTGACATGACGCTGCCTCAAACTCTCTCTTCTAATATACTAGTGTTGGGAGGCCCGTGCCAAGCACGGGCCCAATAGTAAAAATATTATGGTAGTAACAATATTGGGCATTTGTAGAGGATAGATAATATGATCTAGTATATTATGTACTATTAGAACTATTTAGAATATGTACAATAGACACAACTATGATGTTGAGTTCAACGATTTGTACATACTAACTAATGTAATATAACCAAAATAATATAGTACATGTTGCAGTTTTTGCATATAATATTAGCATGTCATTGTCTAGCATATTTAGAGGACCCAGCAGTTTGCCTGTCCACAGGTAATGTTGCTGCTGCAAAAGACCAGAGCATAGGGACAATGATTCATTATATTGTCCCCAGCATAAGCAAAAGTGACAAAAGGGTGTGACGGAGTTCCTGTAATTAGGCAGTTTAAAGTATGTTAGAAACTGCAAATATGCCAACAGATAGCAAAGCAATTGTAATATAGGGAACAGAGAGAAAGTAAACGATGAAATTAGCAGAAAATTGATAGATTTGCTGTTGAATTTGTGTCTGATTGGCCTAATAGTGTACGCTGAATGAGTTTAGCTAGTAGAGGAAATGTTGTTCCTATTGTTCCTATTGATAACTCTGTATTATAGTCTATGACATAATGACAAAGTAGAGAAAGTAAAAGAGAAAACAATGTATGCAGTGCAAGTTATGCAGGCAAGCATGTAAATAGGCTGATATTGCACGGTGAAATGGCAAACAATAACGTAAGAGCTAACGGAGAGTAGAGTTTTATGCTAGGGAAAAGACACAGCGGACATAAGGATTTCTTTGAGTGGGATTTATATGAATGTGAACAACATTGTTCACAATAAAATGTCAAAAGCATAACAACGGATTTTATAGTTGGAAGGCAGTTTCATTGGATGTGAGGTGAGGTGTTGCAAGGAGTAGAAGTAGGAAGGAGTAAAAAATTTTTGTTAGTGTGCGAAAGAGCTGGTGCTAACTGCGAAGTAAGGAAATTGGACAGGTGTTGTAACTCAAATAAGTGTAGCCAACAGTAAACATGAGAGGAATGTTATGTGATAATAATTAATACATGGATATGAACATGGATAGAAGGGTTTTAACGCTGAGTTAATGGGAGACTGTAGAATGTTATGTCAGATATGAGCAAAACGAAGTTGACAATTTTGAATCATGTAAGAGCAACTGTAAAAGCAGGAGGATAACATAGGTATGATGCTTACAATGTTTTAGAGGAAGTATGTGGATACGTGTATAAAAGAAAGTAAATTACAGGTAAAAGTAGAGAGTTGTAGCAGTATTTTCTGAAATAAATGTAATTATGTGGAAGTAATAATCAGTCTGAACTATAGTTTGCTCTGAAAGGGAGATGTAGACTAACCTTTTACACCTTTTTGGTAGGTGTGGGTGGTTCAAATTTTGCCGGTGCATTAGAAGGACCAGCTGCAGCACTTGTTGGCATCACTTCTACCTCAGTTATTTCCAAAGGCTTTATCTTCTTACAAGTCCTATCAGTAGTGCTGTGTGGAGTATGTTGTTTTCCTTGTAGGAAAGAATGGACAAAGTTGCATTTGTGGTATTTGAGCTGCTCCAAGATGACTTCCTTAGCTGAATTTCGAACGTTTTGTTTGACAGCATCTCATGGACATGATGAAGAGACAATGATTGTCGCTGTAAATGAAATAAGTTAGAATAAACAGTTTAGAACAAAGCATACGGGGCAAACTGTTTGTGTTGAAGATATATGGTATTATGACAATAAGTCTATACAAGTAGCTAGTTGGAATGAGAGATAACCTTAGTGTAAGTCATGTCAAATATGTCTTCTGCTGTCATGGACAGTAAGTTTTCTCCTAATTCAGCAGAGATAGATGCTGTGGTTGTAGCAGTATTGTCAATAAGATCAATTTGGAAGCTACATCTGAAATGAAGGGAAGTTTCAAATATGGGTATAATGTACTATATTTGGCCGAAAGTGTAGTGTAGAAGTAAAAAAAGTACAGCACCGAGGTACTAATGATGTTGTCCGATTGCATTTTGGACATTCAAAATCCTTTCTATCCTTTGTCCGCTTCTTCTGTTTGCATCCTGAGCATTCAAGCACACAAAAGTCTTGGAACTCATCTAATATGGCCATCTCTGCCTCAACATACAACAGTCCCATCTGCGGTAAATTTTCATTATTTAGGCGAAGCTACAGAATGGGAAAATGACTGAGAATACTCTGAAATGAGGAGGTTCAAGTATGACTTACAGAAGGTGCTGATGAGATTTTTGCAATAGAGATAAGTTGTTGGCCAGCAGGAGTGACTATCATCGGAGTGATAGATGAGCTTGTTGAGGTTTTCTCAGATGGAGAATGCAACAGCAGTGTTTTGTTTTCTTTTGCCCTATTGTTAGAGCAAATAATATGTTTAGTAGGTTGTTTAGATGCAGAGTAAAGCTGTAGAGTAAATATGAAATGTCAGTACCAGTTGAGGAGTGCCAGTGCCTGTGGGTAATTTGGATTCACACGTACTGTGGAGTTGTACCTAGTTTGCAGTGATAACCCTGTATAACAGAGGTTGTGTATTATTTCGTGAGCCAATGAAATGATGTTGGTAAGAAGGTCACCGTATATGTACCTTGATAAGTAGAGATTCCTATACTTCTTCCTAAGATGACAAGCAGATCTGCCTCTGTTGCAATTTTTGAGGCAATTTCATGTCCTTCTATTTCTCCAAAATCCTCCCATAGAGTGAAGAGAAACTGATTTCGCCTGAGAGTGCCAGAACATAAATAGAGAAGAGTAAGTAATATGATAATGGTTAGACGGTAAGTGATGATGTCAATAGAAAAATACAGAAGCTGGTTCTTTAGTCAAAATATTTGCTGAAACTGGGAAAGTGTAATGTGAAATGTGATACTTACTGATTGTCACAAAGGGTAATTTCGCGACACCTATGATGACTGCGACCGGCATTTTTTTGAGGACCACAACGAAGAACGATTGCTAGTATATCTGCGTATATAAGACATAATGAAACGATGCAACTCTACTGCAGCAGTAAAGAGGTACATTTCAATTTGATAATAGCTAGTACAAAGGATGTACCTATTTCTGCAGTAGAATCAACCATCAGATGAGGAATGCGGTCAAAGCTGGTGATATTGAGCTTGGTTGGCAGAGGAAGTGCCTTTTCAACTGCATGAGATGCTTTGATTTGTTCAATTACTGTTTCTTTGTCAAGTATCCAGTAGAATTTATGTATAGGCTTGCCGTATGAAGCTGTGGACAGTTTAACTTTTGCAGTAGAGATCAGGTAGGTATTCAGGAGTTTAAGTGTAGCTGCATACTGCTTGATTTCGTCACTGTACATAACGGCTTTAATTTGGCATTGCTGAAAGTAACAGTGATAGAAATTTCAGATGAATTAAGTTGAGAGCAAAAGAGTAATAGTGATAACACAAAATGTAATAATGAGCTAACCTCTTCATCTTCCAAAATTAAATTTTGGAATGTACATTTCTTGTCAAGGCTTTCTCGTGGCCGTCCTATTTCGATAATTTGAATTTTGCAAATCCAATCTCGTGTTGCTGGTTCTATTTGGTCGATGTTCACTCTTAGTACCATGGTTGGAAGAAATATAGTTAACCAAATAGTAGTACCTGCAGGACAACAGGAATAGTAAGTCACTGTAGGTGCGTTGTTCTGATTTTATGAAGAGGCCTGATTAAATTAGGGATATGCAAGACTGTTTCATGTCTTCAGACAGAAGGAAAAAATGAATGGAAAGTAGGGGACACTGTGGGGAAAAATACAGCTTCTAGCTGCGTCAAGGTGCTTTTGATGTAATAATGAAGTACTAACAAACTGTTGGAAAAACGACTTAGGACAAAAAGCAAAGATAAAGTAGAAATGCATGAAGGATGACAAAGCATGTATGACAGTATTTATTGTTGCTGCTATCTTCATCTGCTAACTATTTGTGTGTTATTACTTGTTTGAGTGCAAGAATAATAATGTTTGTATGTTCCAAAAAAAACCAAAATGAAGAACAAATGAAAAGGAAAACAGGAGTGTTGTTACAGTAGAAGTAGAGTGAAGACAGTAAATCAGTTAGCAGGCATTATTAATGTCCGAAGTATGGTTGGACATTAATTTTTTCACAGAGGATCTGTTACAGGGGCAGTAAATGTTGCAGTAAATTAAAACAGTAATAATTATCTCTGAAATTTGAGTCGAACAACTGTGCATTTGGGAAAAGCAATATGAAAAACTTTAGTGAAGGCAGTATGTGATGGCTTATGTATGACTTAGTATGATGGAAGATGCAGTTTGTAGAAGAGACCTAATTTTGCACATTTATATCCCAAGGCAGCATTTAGTTTTACCGAAAATGTTTCCTTTTTTTGCATAGAAAATCAATTTTGATGTTACTATTTGAATAAACCAAAAAAAGACAACAGAAAACAGTTATGGTGCAGATATTTTGATCATGTTGGGCATGCATTTAAAAACATACTGCTGGGCTAATGGTATATCTATCTATGAAAGATTTAATAGTATTGAAAGCATTAAATATGAGCCACGAAAGATCAAACTGATAAGGGAGGCTATTACTTTGTGTTTTACATTTGCAATATCAGCAGAACTGTAATAGCTTAGTAATTGACGTCCACCTAATAAATGTAATTTTAATATATTTTATTTCAATTTTGGTGAGAAGCAGAATCTGGAAGAAAATTTCAAAAGGAGAAGACAGAAAAGATGAAAAGGGAAGAAATAATACCTGAGAAAGGGAGCAAAAATTTTTATCTTCAATGAAAGGCTATTCAATTTGTGTTGTATGAGTAATAATTATATATATAAGGCTAATATATATATATATATATATATAAATATAAATATATGTATTAACTTAGCCTTATCTATAGTATATAAATAATATCTATATATTACCCTTATCTAATATCTAATAATTTGTTATTTATATTTATTTAGGAAAAATACAAATTATAAAGGAGCCAAAAATGACATGTGTCTTCTTACAAAGTGATGGACTGTTGGTTGCCAATGAAATTGTGCCAAAAAAGATCAAAAAACAGTACATTTGGTTGTCAAAGAAGAGACAAAATCATTACCTTTGACTACCTTTTTTTTTTGTTTGTTTTATTTTTGGCATTATTTCATTGGGAATGAAAATTGCATCAATTTTTAAGTAGACAGTTGTAGTTTAATTGTTCTTTTGACATAAGAAAATAAATTTTTTTATTTGTCTATGTATATATCTATCTGTATTTACATACTGTCTGTCTGTGTCTCTCTCTCTCTTTCTCTCTCTCTCTCTCTCTCTCTATATATATATATATATATATATATATATGGACATATATATACATATACATACATATACACACATATATATATGTGTATATTTATATGTATATATGTATATATATGTGTGTATATATATATATATATACATATGTATATACGCAGACAGACAGCTGAAATAATGTGTCATCTGGTTACCATGGTAGCAAAAATAGTATAGGATTACCATTTTCTTTGTACTGTAAAATTGAATGTAGGAACTGTTATCCTAAAGGTAGATAATGCATCTCCGTAAAAGTGAAATACATTTCAATGTGTAATAAGTTGAGAAGCACACAGAGACAGACAGATGAGGGCAACTATTTAGTGAAGTTATTTTGTTGAAGGTAGTATCTTTGTGTTCAGTTAGGGTCATGTAACACAGAATAACATAGCACAATGTACAGTGAAGAATACAACAGAAGAGTAACAGAGGTGAAAAAAGTATAGAGCAGGAAAATACAGAAACTTACGTTTGTCAGTCAGAAGTTTCTTGTTTATTTCACCAGGTGAAGAAGTGTGAGTTGGAAAATCCTACATAAGGTGTACCAAGTATGTAGTGTATTAGTTAAAACTATGGAGAACCGAAGATTAAAATGAAGATTGCATTTTTGAGACCATTGTAATTAACCAAAAGGTGAAATGGTAGCTTAGCAACAGTAGAGCATATATTAAAAGGCATATATGCACTAAAGACGTAAATAGCAGCGGTGTGTGAGGATGAAGCATATATGTGGTTAATACATTGGGTAAAGTTGTTGGATGTTTGGATAATTTCGAAAGTTTACTGTCTGTTTAGTGTAGAGGACCTGGACAAAGAAGAGTGTTTGACATGACATATATACTGCAAGACATACATTGGAGTTTTCGTCTACTTTGACATGACATATATACCGCAAATGAATACTAAGGCAACTAACAAAAAGATTGATTGATCAATAAAAGTGCTAGAGTATATTGCATTGATTTGAGTAGAGGGCATTGCTTTTATATCCTGTAAGCCATTTAGGTATAATTACATTTCATAAGAGCCCTTTTGTTCCGCTTGAAATGAATATAGAGAGTAGAAGAGAATGATGAAATATACATTGACATTTGCTTATGTGAAAGGAGATGAACTTAGTAGGCAATTTATTTCTAAGAAGCTACAGACTTTTGTCATCACAACAATTGCTTTGACTTGCTGATTTTATAATATGTCTATGTCATTGGTTGCACTGTCTATAATTGAGAAGTCATTTACTTTGATTAGAACTACAACAGAACAAGTAGAGATCCAACTAATTGTCCAGGAAAGAGAGGAAAATGAGCCGAGCAAAGGCAGGCGGGATACCTTTGTTAGCGTGGAAGATCGATCAAGTTGAAAGAAGCTTTGCATATTCACAGATGTAGAGGAAGAAACAAACATCAGGTGGTAGGTGCAATAGAGCTATCAAATAGGCGTCAGCTGAAGAGAGGTAGCAGTTGTTATAATGTTTAAATCGTGTGGAAAATGAAAAGGCAAAATAGAAGTGGCATTACTTTATTTTGTATTTACATAAGTATCCTTAAACATATAGGTGTAAGCAATTAATTCATTTTGTTGGACTAAGGAAAGCATGACTTAGACAAAGGTAGTGTTTACAATGAACATGTATACTATAGTGTTAAATTATAAGCAAAGTAAATACTTGAAATATATAACATGACAGTGTGCGAAAAATTCATGGAAGATTAGATATTATATACCTTCGAGTAAAGAATATTTTCAATGCCTTTGCCTTTTCCTTTAGCACATGTGAAACTTCCATGATATTCCTTCTAGGTTTCTCCTACAGTAGGGGAAATTCATAAATTTGTATTTCACATTATGAGGGACTTAAAATGTGAATGATTTGAGGTTATATGATTACCGGTAGAACTATGTATACTAAGTGGAACAAAGTTGGTAAACCTTTATATATATTTGTAAAGCAAATAAATGAACTTGCAAGCAAACATACACGATTAATTTTTCAGCAAAGTTGAACTGTAAATTTACACAGAACATGCTTAAGAGAAAAAGAGTATGTAGTTTTGATGGAAATGACAAAGTTACCTAAGTTAGTGTTCAGACTGTATCTGTGCTGGTGGAATGATGTAGAGTATTAGTTAATTCATCACATTGTTGATATAAATGGTCGTTGTTTGTGTGGGCTTGTTCTGCAGTAGAGCACATGAGCAGGAGTGCATGATAATATGTGCTTTGGCTGTGAAATTGCATTCATATGATTGGAGAATGAAGTGAGACAGAAGGAAGGGCATTTATTGTATAGCTACTAAGTTAGCTTGAGAAGTAAGGTTGTGACTAAAGTAGATGGAGGTAAAAAGTACCTTCTATTTTGTCTTTGTAGCTAAGTTCATTTGCTGCCTTTTGACCACTAAGAATTTGACAATTGTAATTCCCAAATATGTGAAGCTAATACAATGATTTTAACAGGTTGAGAGAGCAATTTAAAAGGGTAGTTTGTGTTTACCTTTGAATTAATGTTATGTGATACAATGTAAATACCCTATGCTCTTCCATTAAGGTGAAGCTGCAATGAAGTATGGTTGATAAAGTTTGTTAAAAGAAGAATAATAAATTTCATACATAATGAAGAGCGTTGGATTCTTCTGTTGATATAGTATGCAACATATAAAAGCAAATATGTTGGTCAATTAAGATAGAGAAAGGATTCATATTGTGAGCACAGAATGAGAAGGCATGGGATGCAATGTGTGGACATTAGCACAATTAAGCAGATTTATTTTTGTACAAATGAAGTGCATATTATGACTGTCTGTAGGTACAGTCATGTGAGCATGTTAATTGTAGATTTTGAAATTGAAAACAAAGGAAGACAAAGCATATCCAGTGGATGCAATTACCATATCAGTGTTTAGCACATTTGGAGTTGCAGATAAATACTTAGGAGTTAGGTTTAGGTCCAAAGGCAATCAAAAATGACAAAATGCATGCATAGATAAGTAAAACTTAAGCATAGCACCCAAAACATGAGTCAATAACTGTAAGTCCTTAACTGAAGTTGATGAGCATAGAGAAATTGAGTAGATAAATGTAAAAAAAACCTGAATAAGACAGATATAAGCATAATAGTAGCTTCATCTATTGATTTGCCACTGCCATTTCCCTTTCCATTTGCAGCTGAATTAATTAGGAGTTAGGTTTAGGTCCAAACGCAAGCAAAAATTTCAAAATGCATGCATACATAAGTTAAGCTTAAGCATAGCACAAAAACCATCAGTCAATAACTGTAAGTGTTTAAATGAGATTGATGAGCATAGACAAATTTAGTACATAACTGTAAAAAAAACGTGAACAAGACAGATATAAGCATAATAATACCTTTATCTGTTATTTTCCATTTCCATTTGCAGCTGAATTAACTAATGAAGGCATAGCTGGTGACAATTGTTTTTCTTGAACATCTCCCATCATCAACAGAAGCTTTAGTCTTCACTTGTACAATGTCATTGTCCTCGGCTTTGAAATCTTGTACCATTTTTTGGATCAATGAGACATTGATAGCACGACTTTTAGCAGCTTGTTCTTGTTGAAGTGAGACCATACTTTCCAACAATTTGAACTTTTGCAAATACATCTTTACTTTTGCCTCAACTTTAGCTTCTTCATTTTTTATCTCCTCATTTTTGCTTTACATATCACTTCAATTGATGGATAATTGATTGAAGGATATGCAAAGGAAAAATGAGGAGCTAAAAAATGAGAAGGATCAAGTTCAGGGAAGAGCTAAGTTGTATTTAGAAAAGTTGAAAGAGCTAGAAAGTAGAGTATCACTTAAGGAGGAAGAAACAACTAAAAATGGTATTGTCGATGTCTAAGTGATCTAAAAAATGCTAGAAGCTTTGGAAGCGAAGGATGATGATGTTGTAGAAGTGAATAGTAAAGCTTCTGGTGCTGATGGAGATATTCAAGAAGAGCATCTCTGCTAAATCTGACTGACTGTTTAGAGAATCACAATCTCTGTTAAGATTTTTAATATTTGTGGAGAAGTGCCTCTGGTGGTCCATTAGAAGTCTTTCAACCAAACAGAATTCTTTATGAGGAAAAGCTGAATTTAGATATGAGATCTGTAATCTGCAGGAAAAAGAAATAAATTATTTTAGTTTGCATTTGAAGATAGCATAAAACTTTCTAACTTTGTAGAAGTTTTCTGTCCTTATTGAAGAATAGAAGAGCTACAAAGTGGACGGAAAGAAAACCAACTAAAGAAAAACAGGAATTTGGAGAAACTTGAAATGGTAATTGAAGGAGTTGAACAAAAAGTGATGTGCGAAGAGTGGAAAGTAATGCAATAAGAGAAGTAGTAAATTAGCAGTAGAAATAAAGTATTATAAGTTGGTTGTAGTAGCATTATAAGAGAGTTTCTTCCTGGACTGAATAGTACAAATGGGTAAGATAACAATTGTGAATATGTTTGAAATGTTTTTGTTACAACTGAACTAAAGTATGACAGAATAGCTGTTGCATCAATAAAATTGTATGGACCATGGGAGAAAACATATAATGTACCTATGAGGAGGTGTCAGATGTCTGTGAATCTTGTGGATGGGGTAGCCTGTATATATGGTCTGTGTGGGTAGTTGAAGTAATCCCTATAAGGTGCTGATAATGAAGAAGTTGCTGCAGATTGTGCAGCCTGTTTTGTATCAGCAGGATTTGTACTGTTCAGTTGCAGGCAATTTGCTGAAAAATCGAGTTATTATTTAGGAATATTGAATTGCATGAAATTCAATATGAAATAAGTTAGAACGACATATGGAACAGCTGAAATGAATCATCAATTATATAACATGAAATATTTGTATGAGGTAATGATTTTCAATAGGCATTTATACTTTGGAGTATCCGGAATAACAGGAAATACAAGAAAGCTGAACCAGTAATTAAAAGAGTTGAAGGAAAAGTGATGTGCAAACATTGGTAAATAAATAAATAAGAGAAGTAGTAAATTAGGAGCACAAAGAAATTCCCCAAAGTTGATCTTACTACCATTATGAGAGATTTTGTTACTGGAGTGAACAGGTGAAGTAAAATATGAGAGAATAGCTTGTGGGATATCTCTCAATCTCGTGGACTGGTTAGCGTCTATATAAGGTTTGGGTGAGCAGTTGAATGAATCCCTCTAAGGTGGTGATAATGAACAGGGTGGTGCAGACCCAGAGGGCTGTTGTGTGTGACTGCTATTTTTATGGGTGACCTACAGGGAATCTGTTGCGGGAGAACATAATTATTTAGGAATAGTGAATTTCCGCAAATTCAATAAGAAATAATTTAGAAGTACACATGGAACAAATGAAATGAATCATTACTTATATTACCTGAGAAACTCTGTTTTTCCTTTTGGCAATGAATTTGTTTGGACAACTGTTGAAGGAATGGAAAGCGTAAAGAATAGGGAAAAGAGAAATGGAGAAACCCTTGAAAGCTTAAGTTTTGAATGAGTGAAAGTGTGAAAGCCAATTTTACGGTTTTGAGGGGTTGTGGTGGTTTGATGGTGAATATAGTGTAATAGACAAATAGATGCAATTATTTAGTTGAAGCTTGTAGCACACATATATGGTATAATATGGCCTAATATGGTGTACAGGAGGAAAATTAGGAATGACAGAAAGAGCTAAAGAAAAGAGAATGTAGGAATTGGAGAAAGAGCAAATGATGGAGAAAACATGTGAATTTTGTTGAAGCGCTGAACAAGTACGTCCGTAGGGCGTTGTACAGAAAGAAAAATGTTGAACAAAGTTTGAGAAACAGATTTAAAAGCTGTAGGGAAGCATAAAATAGTAATGAACATATGGATTTGCCATTGAAATTTTGGCTAAAAGATGAATAAGTACCTGTACAGGTCATTTGATAGAAACTGAAATGTTCAGCAAACGTTCAGAGAGAAATGTAAAGGGTGGAGACAAACTGAAAAAACAGAAGAAGAGATGGATTTGCCATTAAAGAGTTGACAAGTAGAAAGAAGAGTTGAGAGGGACAAAACTTAGGGTCGCTTAAACCATGAAGAATTACCTGCGCAGGTTGTCCGAGAGAAACAGAAATCTTGACCAAAGGTTGAGAGACAGATTTAAACGTTGCAGAGAAACAGCAAAGAATAAAGAAGAGATGGAGTTGTCATTGAAATGTTGCTACCATGAAGAGGAACTTGCGCAGGTCGTTGGATACAAAGTGAAATCTTCAGCAAAGGTTGACAGAGATGTAGATAAACAGAAAAGAATAAAGTTTTTTTTAAGTACTAACAGTAGTTTTTAAGTGATTACTGTTAGTTTTTAAGTGACTTTTATGCATACTATATTATAAATTTATGCACCTACATAAAATGGCTAACGAATGAAAGAATTTATGATTCATGTGTATGAACCAAATTTATTGTCAAAAAAGAAACAGAGGTTGAACCAGAGAGAAGAATTAGGTCGTTTGAACAACCTTAGACTCTTGTGTTGCTTTACTCTCAGGAAAAAAATTTCTACTGCTATTTACACAAATGTTCTTATTAGAGTTATGACTAATTGTCAGGCAAATGACAGGCACTCATTACAAGTTTTGATGTTGGAAGTAAAAAATCAGTTTGGGTGTTTTCTTGTAACACATAATGGTGGAAGAAAAGAAGTTAGATAGCATGTGGATGTAGTAACAATGGACCAAGGATAAAAGCAAGTTAGAACATTGGTTAGAGCTAGCACATTTGTATCCCTTATCTTCCGTAGAAGCTCATATGCATTACTAATAAATGATTACATGTAAGCAGATATTAGCGTTTATATTCGATATTGAATCTCCTGAAATGTACAAACAAGAAAAAACCAAACTGTGGAGAAATGCACAACAAGGTATAGGAAGAGAAACATTAAGTTGAAATCCAACTGAAGTAAACAGACGCAAAAAAGCGTAAAACGGAGAATTTTTCTTTACATCAGTTGGAAACACTTACATTGAGAAAGTGCGTGAGATAGTTTCCAGACTGAAGAGAAAGCCTTCATAATGACCACGGCATGCTCGCACTCTAAATAGAAGAAAGCATGTTAGCTACAACACAAGATGAGTGCTTTCATTCTACATTTGAAATTTGAACAATGAGATATTCGTAGCAAAGAAAAGTAGATGACAGAAGCTTAACATGAATTTCTATTGCAGCCAAATAGTATACTGAGTAATTGAAGAAAGTCAGAAACATTTGTAGAGTTAGTTCTCCAAAAATTGCCAGTCAAAGAGAGTGAATAAGGTTGAATGTTTAAATGTATTTTATGGACATGAAAAATAGTACAGATGATTAATGGGAATGCAGAAAACATGTATCTATTGAGAGAAGGGAATTACTACTTTATGTGAATTAAAGAACAATTTGAAGGCAAATGTTTCTCCAATTTGACACTAAAACTATGTTACAACTGTAAATTGTTTATATACATCCATGTACTTAGATGTTCGTAAGTGTAGAAGCATGTATGTAAGGTACATGTAAATGGCCCCTTATATAGATTGACAAAGATGGTAAATCACTTAAATAAGGATTGTGGCTGTTGTTATTTGATGTGCTATTCATGTAATATTTATCTCCATTTATGAAGAATGTAAGTTATACTATGTGAAATCTGTCTGTAATATCAGAATATTGAAAGTACCAAAAATGTGAACAATTACGCAGGTTAAATATTCATAAATATTAAATAAAAATTGATGCTTGGAGACAAAGTTAAAGAAGGTAATAATATTTGCACAGACTAAGCAGCACCAATACAGTAATCGTACTTATAAACCCATGAAAACGCTGATGTAATATTAAACATTGGAAAAGATGAACAAAATTAACAGCCAAAAACATTAAATGTAAGAGAATTTTGACCAAATAATGGGTTAACGGCAGACGTTGATGAAGAAAAGTGAGGGTTAAGCTTTGAAGTGTCAATATGGCAACCATCGTTGCAATAGTTTGAAGCAATTGAGGGTTCTCTGCAGTGCAATTCTAATGTGGAAGGCAAGTGGGAAACATGGATTTGAATGAGTATAGGCAATAAAATTGGGCTTAAAGGCTGAAAGGCAGACTTTAGACCGCTATTTGTACTACTATATCATGTGGTGTTTTGCTGAATAGTTAGTAGTGCCTTTAGTACAATGAGCACCTGCAGTGTTGGTCCTTTGTAAGTGGCACTTCTAAATAAGGGTAAGGTAATAATAACAAGAGAAAGAGGGAGTTGTTTTATTGCATAATAAAAGTATAAAGAATTAAGTGAAGAATTGTTCAATTGAGAAAGAGATGGCAAAAAAGAGTGTTGCAACAGATTTACATGCAAAAATTGATAAGCTGAAAGACAATGAAGATGTAATGCATGGGAGCAGTAAATATAGGCAGTAAATGATATTTTCACAGATGCACTGAAGAACAAAAAAGAACAAGAACAAAGATTGAGGAGAAAGAATAAAAAGGAATTACGATGTGGGGGTACCTGTTGTCATCAACAATTATTGTGTTTTAAAGCTTAATGTTCAGATATAGATGAACTGAATGTAGTGTTCCTCCAATAGCAAAATTGCTAATGAATTTGACGGTGATTTGTATGCTGAGCAGATCGTTGCAGGTATGAAATAAAAACTACAAGCAAAAACAATGGGCGAAGGGTAAAAGCAAGTTAGAACATAGATGAAATAAACTCATGAGGAAAATACAGCAAAAGCAAAGAAATGTATAGTTGTGAAATTAGTTGGACCTTGAAATTATGAGATGTAAATGGAAGTGAAATTAAGAACAAAGTAATAGAAAGTATTAATTGGTATTTATGTTTAAAAAACCCAATTGAGGTAAATTGATCTGTAATTGAAGACTGTGTAGCATGAGCGTGGTTAGTTGTTACATTTGTTGTTTTGAAATGTATTATGAGAATGCTTTTCGAATAATCTCATTGTAAACTACATTATATGTAGAATGATCATTTGTGTCCTCTGCTGTAGGCGGTCGTATTAATATCTTGACATTGTCTGAACATTTTGGTCGAGATAAAGCAACATAAAGTTGTCCATGCGAAAAAACTGGTTCACGCAAATATATTCCCACAAAATCTAATGTTTGACCTTGAGCTTTGTTTATAGTCATAGCAAAACATAACCTTATTGGAAATTGTGTTCTTTTAAAGGGAACTGGTAGCTTCTCATCTTGTGATGCCAATAATGGTATCTTTGGAATAAAGACATGTTTATTTTTAAAATCACCACTGCAAATAGTAGCACTGATAACATGTGACTTAAAATCATGACATATTAATCGTGTACCATTGCATAAACCTTCAGTAGGATTTAAGTTTCTTAATAATATAACTGGACAATTTTTTTCAAAGTTAATTTATAAGGAGGTAAGTTAGCAGGATGTAAGGTGTGCAAGAAATCTTCAAATTGGCACTGATCATTTGGTTCTATTGTTTCATCAATAGCTGTATAGACTGTAGCATCATCGGGAAATCTATGTATAAGCATGTCATTTATTTCATGAACAAAATCATTTTTTGTGTCAAAATAATACGGGAAGTTATAAAAGATGGATTAGAATAGAATGTACGGAAATCAGGATAAGTTACATTAAACAAAAGATTCAAAGATTCTATTTCATGTGTAAAGGGAATGACAAAATTTTTGGGAATTTGAATTTTGTTGCAGTTGTTAGTTTTTTCTTGTCCATTTCCAATTCTCATTAAATATGCCCAAAATTGCTGGATCTTTTTTTGCACGCATGTTTTCAGATAAGCACAATTTTTCGAGATGATTCCAAATATGGGAGTATAATAAACTTTGAGCAATAAAGTCTTCTTTTTTCCCATTACGAACTACAGGAAGTGTTTGTCTAAAGTCTCCCCCAAAAACTACAACTTTTCCACCAAAAATTGTTTTTGTATTCATAAGATCTTGTAAAAGTGTATCAAGAGCTTCAATGGTGTTTTTTTTGGCCATTGAGACTTCATCCCAAACAATCAACTTTGAATCTTGAATTAGAGTCGCTAAAGAACTTTGTTTACTAATATTGCAAGTGAAATTTTCATCAATGTCAATAGGAATTTTGAAACGTGAATGAGCCGTTCGTCCTCCTGGAAGTATTGAAGCTGCAACACCAGAAGTTGCAGTTGCTAAAGCTATGCATCCTTTTGTTCTGATAGCAGCCAATAAAGCTCGATAAAGGAAAGTTTTTCCTGTTCCACCAGGACCATCAATGAAAAAAGCTCCTGATTTATTGGAATATACTCTTTCAAGAATTATGTCATATGCCCTTTTTTGTTGAAGATTTAATTTGTTTTGTAGATGTATATCTTTTTCAGAGACTATTATATTTCTTTCAAAATAAATTTCTTTGGCCTCATTAGTTGTTTTAGAAAAACTAACATTTCCAAATATATCTTTGAATTCGTTTATGTTATGTCCCATTGAAAGTAAAACTTCATTGATATGATTTAAAACTAATTGGCGGATATCATTTTTGGTAATAGTTGAAATGATTTTAAAATCTTCTGACATAGAGTGTTCATATTTTTTCCAAAGATCTTGTGGGTTACCAGGATTACAGTAAACTAATAATGTTGCAAATAATCTTCTTAAACTATAAGGCATTTGATTGCTTACAGCTTCAGACATACAGTCAAATAAGTTGTTATCACAATGTAATAAGCCTTTTTTTTCTGCAGCTTCTCGAAATGTACTGTAGCATTTTCTGTCGATTGTACGTAGATCTTCGTACGATTTTGGCCCTCTTGTGTTCATTAGAAGCAACCTCAGATAATATCTTTCTCCTTCGGTTGGATGACACGTTACAATACGTCCAATAGTAAGGCGTTGTTTTCGACGTGACCATATTTTGTACGATGATGACCATACAAAGTGTTGGGGAAACTCTTTATACAGTAAATTAAAATTTATAGCATCGTTATTAGTTTTGTTCATAAGAAAAAATTCTGTTAACATGGTTTTTTTTATGATTGGATTGTTTATTATTTGATCGACAGTTTGGTTCTTTTTGAAAGAAACAAATTGTTGTCCATCAAGATGCAATTGCAACTGGAAAACAGTTGGAGTCATTTCACTTATTGAAAAAGCGAACAAACGCCACACAGCTTCTGGAGGAGAAACCCATCTGGCAGATTGGTATTCTTTGATTTCATCTATTTCTACATTAGTATCATTATTATGTACAATGAATGCAATTTTGTCATGTCCTTTGCAAATGTATTTGTAAATGTATTTGATAACCTTAATGTCAGAACATATTTCAACATTAATATGACAAGCGAATTTCTTTAGTAGAAATGGATTGTATGGGATAGTCCACGAATTATCAATGTTGTGTCCTCTAACTTTGATTGGTCTGGTCATTTTTTGTCTTTTGTAAAGAGGATAGGAATTCTTTCCTTTGGTTGTTTGTTGACTAAGTTGTTTTGGATATTTGAACTTACATTTTCCTTCTTTTTGCATGCAAGAATTTGAAGGATTTAAATACCCACAAGGACCATGGATCATGTGCTTGGTGACAAGTTTGTATAGATCATGATCAATGTGAGGATCAGGTAATTCAGCGCATACAATTTTATCATATGATTGTGGTGTGAGCAATTTATATCCATCCATAAGTATAATGAGAAAATGGGCATGTGGAAGACCGCGTTTTTGAAACTCAACGGTATACATAAAAGCTGCAATCTTTCCAAATATCTTCTTTTTTTGAATATCTGTTTTAAGTTCTTCTACTTTTGCTTTGAATACTCTACTAACTAAATCAGGTCTATTTTGAACTTCTTCCATTGGCTGTAAATGTTGTTGGATTTCAGGCCAACAAGGATTACAAGTCATTGTCAGAAATATGTCTGGTTTTCCAAAATGTTGTACCAAAGCAATAGCATCCATATATCTCTGACGCATATCTCTTGGGCCTCCTATGAAACTACCAGGAAGGAATTTTTGTCTACCAATATTGGAAGCATCTCTTTCTCCTTGCCTCAATAAATCAATAATTCCTTGAAAGGCTTCAACTCTAAATAGATCTTGATTAAAAGAAACAAAATCTAATCTTTGTGTCTCAAGTTTAATATATTGGTCAACTATGTATTGTTGAAATAGCCTTCCAGAATGTAAAGTTTCATTTGGTTCTTTATCTCTTATTTGAATTTTATAACAGTAATATTCACGACAAGAAACAGTCTGCCTTTTTCGAAATCCTTTTGATAAAACTGTAGATTCAATGTGAAGGAGTGTATCAATACAATTGATTTTTTTTATACTTGGTAGTTGCTCAGATTCAGAAGGAATTTGCTTTGTGGAATAACTATATGTGTTGTTGAATTTTTTAATACCACAATGCCAGCCATTTTGACCATAAGGAAACAATAGTGGATATTGTAATGGGTCATAACATCCATAATAGTAATTGACCAACTGGGTTTTGTTACTATGAGTGTAAATTCGAATATGTGGTGTAGGAATTTTATCATTTAATTGATCTTCAATCCAAATTGCTCCTACTTCAGATGTAGTTGGTAAGTTATATGTTCTTTGGTCTAAATTGGAACTTGAATTTAGAGCAATGTAAAATTCAGATAAATTAGGAACAACTGTTAACGATGTAAGAAAAGTAGAATAAGGATTAAGTTTGAGTATATCCATGAGTTTTGTAACAATGAGCTCATTAAGATTATCTTCTAATGTCATTCGATTTGTTAGCTCATTTTCATTATCATAGAAATACAGTTGTAGATTTTTGGGTTTTCCTGTTGAGGGTATCAAATCATCAATGAAGTGATACATTTGTCCTTGGACCTTAAATGTATAGATGCCACGATTTCTCTTTGCTAATTCTCTATCATAATGTACTCCAAGTGAAGTGAAGGCAAACATATTATTGTATGCTCTACTATAAGTGCGGAAATGTTGAGATTCTTTAGAGTCACCCAAGAACAAATTATGCAAGTCAGTAGGCATCGTATGAGAAGTTAGTCTAATTGATCCATTATCACAACAGAAACCAGGTGATTCATATTGAAACCTTTTTGCTAGACAGAATTTGCAATTTGGAACTTGTTTTAAAACCAAGTAATGTTTTGGCAGTAAATTATCATTTTGTAGATTGACTTCTAACTTATTCCTACTTGTGCAAGGTAATAAGCAATTAGTTGTTATATATAAAGGCAAAAGAAGACATTGTTTGTAATGATTTAGGTTGAAAGAAGTATACCTTTATTTGCAATATGTGCTAAAGGTAATTTGCCTACAGCATGACATGTAGCTGATGTTGATCCTAGTATGAGGATTACAAACATGTAGAGATAGGTAGGCAATTATGAAGAATGAATATAGGGGAAATAGTTGAAATAATATTTCTGAACTGACCTAGCTCGAAGGTAGATGAGCAATTGACCGTATGTTGTGCTGTAGTTGAAGTACCTGCAAGGTTTGTAGTTAGTTAAAGTGTGTAACTATAGCTTTACATATTTACAAGACAGATTTAAAAGAAGGAAGAAAAGAATATGCGTGGCTAACATTGCTGAAGAGAGACTGAAGAAGTGGTACCTGTAAGAGTAGCAGTTGTATTTGATTGATGAAGGAGGTTTTGTCTTTTTGATTCATCCCTTTTATCTCTTAGCTGGGATAGAAGTAATTCTTTTCTCTTTGGTGACATTTGCGCATATCTAGTACGTCGGGACAAATTTCTAGCAGAAGTTTTTTCTGGGGTAGGCACATTATCTCTATTTTCTGCTATTCCTGTTTCAAGTAATGTGTGATTTGTTTAAATATTTTATAACCTAATGTAAAGGGGAAAAATAGAAGCTGTATTAAACTATAAAAGGGTTTTGGTAGCATGAGCGCAATATGTACTAAAGAGAAATATTATATAAGTATTAGAAGATTTTGATGGAAGTATGCATAGAAAATTTGTGCAATTGATTGAATGAATAATTGTTCGTACAATCATTATAGCATATGTTGTCTTTGAAGATATAAGATTGTACTTTACAACAAACGAAAACGAAGCAATGTAATAGAAGATATTTTCATAGTTTGAAGGTATCGATACCAAAAACTTTATGTTGCTGTAAAAGATGGATCAGTTGTTATTAGTATGTTGGACAATTCTGATCATATTGGAAATATTATGCAGAAGGAAAAACATTATATATTAGAAAATTATCTGTAGAATACAGAATATTGTAACAGATAATATGGAGTATTTAAGTCATTTATAGTATAGTAATGAATATATAATATGTAGTATTTAAGTGGAAGGTGGTGGGGCCCACTTATGTAGTTTGATAAATATATTGGATATTAGGTGTGATTTATAGTATAGTAATTAATAATATATAATATGTCTCTTTAATATATTACAATAATTAAAAAAATAAATCTATCGACTGCAACAAATCTATCAAGTAATGTCACATAAATTGGGACATGGCAAATAACAGATATTATTACAAAGTTGCATGTATTGCAGCAAATGGAAGTCTGTACAGATAGTTAGGTAATTATGAAATTTGAATATAGGGGAAAAAGGTGGGGTAATATCTGTGAACTGAGCGACTTTGAAGGTAGATGAGCAACTAACTGTATGTTCTGTTGTAGTTGAAGCAGATGGTGCATTTGTAGCTATGGAAGTTGCAACTACAAAAGGCGGAAAATAAATATATTAAGAGTAGGTGATTTCAAGTGTGTAACTATAGGTAGAGATATTTAGAAGGTAATTTTGATAGAAGGAAGATAAGAACATGTAGAGCTAACCTTGTTGAGGAGCTAACGAAGACGGGGTAATTGTAAGAGCAACAATAGAATTTGATTGCTGGGAATTTTTATTTTTTTTTAATTCAGCCCTTTTTGCTCTTAGATGGGATAGAAATGACTGCTTTCTCTCCTGTGACATTTGTGCATATGCAGTACGTCGCCGTAAATTTTTGTCAGAAGTTGTTTGTTGGGTAGGCACATTATCTCTATTTTGTTCCATTCCTGTTTGAAGTAATTCAGGATAGTTTATAAAAAAATATACCGTAATGTAATGGAGGCAGAATACATAGAATGGACCATAAAAAAAAACCAAACCTATATTAATTGCAAGAACAAAGTGAATATGTTAATTTTAAGACAAAATGGTCCAATAAAATTTCAATGGAGGAAAGCGAGAAAGCAATGTAGGTGAAGGAGTAAAAGTGCTATGCACAATTGATAAAGTCATTAGTAGATGATAATTAGTTGACAATATAGGATTAAAACTGATACTATGCCGCACAACCAATATGGAGTTGTCATCACAGAAGTAGACCTATTACTGTAAAGGTTGCCTGTTGAGGTGAATTTTTTGTACATGTTGTAGCTCCTATTAGATTGAATGTAACGAATGTTGTGTATTGATGAAAATAATGTTTTTGTGAGCCTCATTTTCATCAGCCCTGTTGGAAGCAAGGCAAAAAATTTGTAATGTGCACCGAACTATATAAATTTAGAACAAAGTACTTTGATGCAGGTTTTGAAAGTATAGGCTAATGAACTCATTTCTGGGAAACGCAAATGTAGGGCAGAACAATGCAGCAAAGGTAACCTAAATAATAGGTAGCTAACGAAAGTGTTATTAGTAAATGTTTTTGCATTTGGTTTGTACAGCCTTGACCTATTATGTTCAGTTTCTTGTCAATAAGATTAAGTGCTAAAATAGTGACACATTAGTCAGCGGGCAGATATTGTTGACGGAACCCTTGTGTAGGTGAATTGTGTATGTTTCTGTATGACATGTAGGGAACCGAACCTATGAACACACGAGCAAATGATTTAAACTGAAACAGAGGTGGGATGAAATGGCATACATGCAAAACAAATGTTTTCCAGGAAAAGAAAGAATAGAGAAGGGAGTGGGGTTGTGATGTAAGACCATACCTTTTCAGTTGCAGAGCGATATGGGACAGGATATTCAGGGTCTAAAAACAGGGAGGAAAAATGTGTTAGCAGTTTTCATGTATATGATAAAACATGTTAAACTCGTATAATGTAACTACGGTACATTTAAGATATCGGAATGTACCATTTGGGTAAACAAGAATGTGAATGAAAAGAATAGCGATAGAATAATGTAAGGTCCTTTGTAAGAAACAATTGGAAGGGAAAAAGCGCAGTACGTCAACATAAGAATGTAATCATGTTTCAATGACATGAAGTGTATGTTACCTGCGTCCTATGTGAGCGTAGCGAAATGCGTTTTCTGTCTCCGGAATGAATGTGTAGCCTAGAGAATATTTTGATTGTAAATAATGTTTTCAAACTAATAGAAGAAGTTATGACGATTTTCAGAGCTGAACAGTTGACATATGAAATAGACAAAATGCGTAAGAAGTATGATTAATGTGAGCCAAACAGTTTGGGTAACGGAGAGAATGGATGTTTAATTTTTTCAGGAAATGTAGGCCAAATGAGCAAGAATGAGAGCTAATTGTAGCTATTTCTGTGGAGTTTTTGACATGGTATTGTATTGGATATTAATGTCATAGAAGAAGTTGAACTTATCATATTATTGTCAATTCTGAAAGGAGTATATGGCATTTTTCAGCATTCATGTTATAAGCATTTTACACGCAAGGCAGAGCTTAAGTTCAGGTGTGAATTAGTCATGCGATAAAATGAAGTTCATATTTGTATGCATTTGTGTTTTAGGTGAAGCTGCAGTGACAAGTGTAGCTAGTAAGTTTAGCTAGTGCAATGTTCTATTTATACCGAACAGGAAAACATATATGGGAATAAGGAAACTTGAAAATCAGTTGATGCAGAATTCATTATTCCATCTTATTGGAAGTAAAAGGCAGAACTATTGTGTCGCTATAGGAAGAGCTGAAGTTGTATTAGCAACTTGTTCTGAAGCAGGTGCAGTTGATAGTAGACTATTGATACAGGTAAAAGGAAGTGAAAGTGTAGGGCTACAGAAAGCTATACTGCTCTGCGCGGTCTGGCTGGTTGAAATGTGTTTTAGGTTTAGGGAAATGCATGATGGAGGGGATGAGGAATGAATATAGCTGTACAGAATATTGGAAGAATGCAATTTAGCGTGTATGTAGTCATAATGTTGCAATGTAAGTAAGGTAATGCAGCTACAGTAGAAGGAAAATGATATTGTAAGAAAGTCAGTAACGAAGTTTGCAGTTTCCCTATTCATAATAGCTAACATATAGATTGAACAGCGCATAAGATTTCTGTAGCAAGACCAACGTATGTAAGAGATATGATAGTGGTAATGTTTTGGTAAGCCATGAGACATGTTATAGTAATGGCTAGAAAGAGTTGGTAGATTCATTGATAAAATTAGTTGTTCAAATGTAAATCGGAAAACAGTGTTACCTGAACTGGGTTTTTTTCCTGGGGGTTTTTGAGAGATGTGAACAATCTGAAACAGCAGATTTATTAATTACCTGTAAATAGACGAAACAGCCAATAAAGTAACAACTGTTATAGCGACTTCTGTAGAATGTCAATAGCTTTATTAGATAAGAGCATAAAGAATTGCGTGTATTGAAATGGAGAAGGTAGGAATGACTGAAATATTGTGCAGAAAGCAGACATTACGTACAGCCAGGATAAACAAAGGTCCTAAACTTGCTCTATTCATTTGCAGAGGAACGGAGAAAAAGTAGACAGCGAAGTTACACTGAATGATCAAATTAAATTGTGTGTTCCTTTTAACTGTGTCTTTTCATTTGGAGTTGCAGATATATACACATGAGTATTTCACTACTATAAGCGTTTGATGTACCAATTTGATTATGGAAGCCGTGGAAATGAAGCTACATCAGTGGAGTTGAAGGGATTAAGCTTTCATGGGAAAGAGTTTGTGTCATACTACTAACTGCGGGAGTCTGTTGTAGAAGAATTTTATCATTTGAAGGCTTGATTTTGTTTTGATGCTACCATTAGGTTTTACGGTTTTGTAACTATCCTTTATTAAAAGACAGACAAATGGAAAAAGAGAACTGAAGGCAAAGTGACGATCAAACCCCGGTAATTAAATGAAGAAGAGAAGTAGTAAATTAGGAGTACAAATAAACGATGAAAAATTGAGCGAAGTAACCATTACGACAGACTGTCCTACTGCATTCAGTAGGACAACTGGGTGACACAAGAATTATGAGTGTATTTCAAATGATTTTGTTACAGCTGAAGGAAAATATGCAGCAATAGCTCCTGGGTGCATCAAATCGTATAGATCATGGGGGAGGGAAAAAAGGTACCTGTGATCACAGCAGGGATGTCTGTCAATCTGCTGGAGTGGCTAACATGCATATATGGTTTGGGCCAGCATTTGAATGAAGCTTTCTAAGGCGGTGATAATGAAGAGGCTGGTGCAAACCCAGCAGGCTGTTGTATATCACTGGTATTTGTCTGGTTCAATAGGAGGCAATCTGCTGGCAAATAAAGTGAGCAGTTAGGAATATTGAATGTAAGGCAATTGAATATGAAATAAGTTAGAACAACATATGGGACAAATTAAAGGAGTGAGTAATTATATTAGAGGAAATATGTTGCGGGCGTTTTGAGTATGCATTTGTGTGGACAAGTATTGAGGCACAAGAAAGCAAGCACATATAAAAGGTCTGAATAGGGAACATATAGGGATACAACATAGGTGACAAATGAGAATACGCTTAAGCAGGAAATTTGAGGTGGTATTGTTGCTATAATGTCAATGAATGAACAGAAATATTCCATCCGAACAGTGTAACCTATTCATCGAATGAGTTGAAGCAGCTAACAGAAGCAGAACAATGTAGGCCATGTAATACATTCCCATTGTCTGAAGCACAGTGAATATTAAGACACAATAAGTACTAAAGATGTAAGAATTTCATCTTCTATAATAGAATTTTGCAACTAACAATGCATGTACTTGTCCGAAATATTTGCAAGACAGTATATTTTGACAGGCGTCTCTGTCTCGGCAATATCAGTAAATATGCAGGCCAAATTTAGGCAGACAAATGTACGTTAATTAACAGAGACTTTAACAATTATCAGCAACGTGAAGTACATATTGGCAAATTTAATGTGAAGTTGTTATCAGCAAGCAGGGTCTGTGGCGGGTGGATGTTGAAGATAGTGCAATAGAGAAATACATGCAACTATTGAGCACAAGTTTGCAGCAGATACATAGCTACAGTATACTATGGTGTACTATGGTACAGAGAAGAGAAATTAGGAATCGAAGAAAGAGGCAAACCGCAGACGAATTAGGAATGGGAGAAAGAGCAAATGATGGAAGAAACATGTAAATTTGACTTAAAGCATGAAGAAATACCTGTGCAGGTCGTTGGAAAGAAACCAAAATCGTAAGCAAAGGTTCAGAGACAGATTATAACTGTATATATATAGACAAAGAAAAAACAGTAAGCAGCAGATGAATTGGCCATTGAAGAGGTAAGAAATAGAAGAAACAGGTGACAGAACAGAGCCACTTTACCTAGGAGGATAGAAAGTTAAACGATGAACAATTAGTTGCGCGGCGCGTCGGAAACAAGCAGAGACGTTCAGCAAAGCTGGAGAGAGAGAGTTAAAGTGCGCAGACAAAGAAGATAAACTAAGGAGCAGATGGATTCGCCATTGAAGAGGTGCGAAGTAGAAGGCAGAGTTGAGAGAATGCTGCGAATTTAGGAAGGAGGCGAGAAATTAGGGTTAGAATTTTGGCAGATGTAGGCAGAAAGTTCTCGAGAAAGCGTGTTTTTTTTTGTATGTACAATTAGTACTACCATTAGTACAATACAAAGATGCACTGTTCGTCCTTTGTAAAATGTACAATTAGTAGTGCGTTTAGTACAATAAAATAATGCAGTGTTGGTCCTTTCAAAGTCTCATTTCTACATAAGGGTAATATAAAATAAATATATATAAATATATGTACATGTACATAATGAAAGTTCAATGAAGTAATGATAAGAAAAAAGAAAGAGTGTGCAAACTCTAAACAGATTAATCTTCTTGGTAAAGATTATTTCATCTTCTTCCTCATCTCTGTATCTTCTTCTTACTCTCATTCGTATCCTTCTTCTCTCTCAATCTAAAACTCATTTAATATAGATATATCTATCCAAAAAGAACATTAACCTTTACACTAATAACAAATATAAATAAGACATTTTCTACTTAAAAACTATACTTGATTACTCGGTAATACACCTTTACACCTTTTAATGATATGTAGTAAGCCATATTCAAAAATTATAATTGAGTTTTGTTTAAATTAGTCGGTGACTAAAATTATTTATAGTTCTTAAATGAATAATAAAAAAAATCAAATAATGTGTTTTTTCTTTCAAGAAAAACATGAGAATATAATTATGAGAATTAGATGTTTAAAAAAAAGAAATTGATACTGAGACATTTGTTATTATGCCTTCAATAACACATTAAAATTCTATTACAACTTAATAGTATATGATAATTGGTAAATTTGTTTCACCAATTTTAACCACATTTATTAAATTTTGGGTAAAGTCTCATTTAATAAATTCCTATCTAAATTCGTAGAACAAAACTCCCACGTAAATTTCAAAATTAAAAATGTTCAAATTTTTTAATCTCCCAAACTAAATTCGTAGGTGTTAATATGAGTGAATTAAAAGATAAGCAAGGGTGTAAGTTAGTTAGGAATGTAACTAACTGTTAGTTAAGTTAGTTATGATTCTCTAGTTAGTTACACGTTGTTGTATATATATATATATATACTAGAAAAAATGGCCCGTGTCACCACAGGCCCAATATTATTAAAAACAAACTTATTATTATATTTCTATCAACATAACAAATATTAGGATAACGTTATATATAGCATAAACTCATATGGAAAAAAATATTTTTAGTTAAACTGCACTATATATATTTAAATAAAAGAAATATATTTATATTTTTTTCGTGACCTTGCTCTTTTTTTCCGTAACGTCTACTTAATTACTTCCTCTATTTCATATTAACTGAGTTGTCTGGATCTTTTTAATTGTTCAAAAATAATCGAATTGTCCCAAGTTCAAGACAGATGTTTGAATTTTTTTTCATATTTGCTCTTTTCTTTAATGGAGTTTGATATTTTTTAAGAGATAAATTGCACTACTTACAAAGTTATGTTTATGATTTACAAAAGATAATATTGAAAATTATGGTTTAAATTATGTCCTTCAATTTATTTATTTAATAAATATGCGTTGTCTCACAAATTCAGTTAATATAGAATAAAGAGAGTGTAAAAAAACAATTGAACTATTCTTCAATAAGTGTTGGATCCTTACTGTTATTAAGACTCTACTATTTCATTCATTCATTTTCGGTGCAAAGCCTTCCAGCTAGGGAACTCTTCATCGTGGGGAATTCTTCTTTCGTTTTAGTCCAACAGAAATGAGAATGGACATTGCTACTTGATCTTGGGTATACTTCCGAGATTCATGTGTAACATCTGCAAAAAAAATAAAAATATCCTTCATTTTCTCAAATATAATAAACATTGAGCAAAATTATACAATATATGACAGTTTAATATTAATTTTATTAACACTAAACAATACTAATTACCGCAAAATGTTCGAGTTCTACACGTTTGTTAATAATTTTCTCCACTTGAATATTTTCTTGTACAAAAACTGGCCAACGGGACCCACATCTATTATATAGTATAGGCATTATACAATGGGTCCCACTATATTCACTGTCACTTTAGTGTAGGGCATTTTCCATAATTTTTATAGAAAAGAAGGTACTTTTTTTAAGTCATTAATATTGTGCAAATATCAAAACACAAAAGACAGCCTTTTCAGGCAAACTTTATCTTATAAAATGCTCTATAGACAGTTATACCCTCACACTTTTCACTTAATGTCAAAAATCTGACATGACGCTGCCTCAAACTCTCTCTTCTAATATATATATATATATACTAGGGTGGGGAGGCCCGTGCAATAGTGATATATATATTACTTGTTCAAATTAGTTTGTTTTGATATTAATGAATGAAGGATTAGGCTGTTTGTAGAAGATGGCTAATATTATATATTATATATTAATATGTACGATAGACATTAGTATGGCATAGATTTGAACGATCTGCACATACTAACTAATGTAATACACGCAAAATATAACATATAGTACATGTTGCAGTTTTGCTATATAAGATTAGCATGTCATTGTTTATGACATATTTTGAGGACGATGCAGTTTGCTTCTCCATAGGTAATGTGCCTCATGCAAAAAACCAGAGCATAGCCATTATGTTGTCCCTATTATAAGCAAAAGTGACAAAATGGGAGGTCTGAGTTCCTGTAATTATAGAGTTTAAAGTATGTTAGAATAAAGCACTTTGAATATAGGGATCAAATAGAAAGGAAATGATGGAATGATGATAAAAGTGGTACATTTGCTGTTGAATTGCTGTGTGATTGCCCTAATAGTGTATGCATAGTGTATGACATCATAACAAAGTAGAATAAGGAAAATGTAGAAGACTGTGTGCAGCGGAAGTTATGAATGTGAGCAACATTGGTCCGAATAAAATGTGAGAAGTCCAACTCTGTTTTGCTGGTTTGGAAGGCAGTTTGACTGGATGTGAGTTGAGCTGTTGGAAGGAGTACAAATATGAAGGAGTAAGAAATTAGGGTTGGTGGCAGAAAGAGCTGCTGCTAACTGTGAAGTAATGAAGCTGGTCAATTGTTATAACTAAAATAAGCTATTTCAACTGTGAACATGAGATGAGGGTTTAGAAGTAAAGCGATAACCAATTGATTTGAGTGTGGATATGAACACGAATAGACATTTTGTAGGGTTAAATTAATGTGGGAGTTGTGAATGGGATGTGAGACATAAATGGGGAAAAAAGACAAATTTCCAAGCAGGTAAGTGGAAATACAAAAGGAGTAGTATGACTTAAGTATGACATTTACAAAGTTTGACAGGAACTATATGGATACGTGTATTAGAGAGAGTAAAGTACAGCTGAAGGTACAGGTTTTTAGCAGGAAATTTGGAAATACTTGGGAAAATATGCAAGTAATAATCAGTGTGACCTATAGGTTGGTCTGAAAGTGAGAAGTAGACTGACCTTTTACACCTTTTTGGTTGGTGTGGGTGGTTCAAATTCTGGCAGAGGATTTGAACAGGTAGCTGCAGTAGTGGTTGGCATGATCCTTACTTCACTTATTTCCAAAGGTTTAATCTTCTTAGAAGTCCTATCAGTAGTGCTCTGTGGTGTATGGGGTTTTTCCATGTAGGAAAGAACGGACAACGTTGCATGTGTTGTATTTGAGCTGCCCCAAGATGACTTCCTTAGCTGAATGTCGAATAATTTGTCTGACAACATCTCGTGGACATGATTAAGAGACAATGATTGTCGCTGTAAATGTAACATGTTGGAAGAAATAGTTTAGAAGAAAGCATCTATATATGTCTGTAGAAGTAGAGAGTGGGAATCAGAGATAACCTTAGTGCAAGTTATGTCAAATATGTCTTCTGCTGTCATGGACAGGAGCTTTTCTCCCAATTCAGCTGTGATAGATGCTGTGGTTGTAGCAGTGGCGTCAATAAGATCAATTTGAAAGCTACACCTGAAATGATAGCAAGTTTGAAATATTTGTATAATATGTCATTTGTAGCAACTGTAATGTAGAAGGGAAAAGTATAGTACCGAGGGACTAATGCTGTTTTTCGATTGCATTTTGGACATTCGAAATCCTTTCTTTCCTTTGTGCGTTTTTTTTGTTTGCAGCCTAAGCATTCGAGCACACAAAAGTCTTGGAATTCATCTAATATGGCCATTTCTGCTTCAATATAGAATACTCCCATCTGGTGGAAGTTTTAATTATTTAGGCAAAGCTAAAGAATGAGAGAAGGAGAAAGGATAGTGTGAAATGAGGAGCATCAAGAATGACTTACAGAAGGTGCTGATGAGATTTCTGCAATAGAGATCAGTTGTTGGCCAGCAGGAGTGAGTATGATGGGAGGGAGATATGAGCTTGTTGAAGTTTTCTCTGATGCACAACTTAACAACATTGTTTTGTTTTCTTTTGCCCTATTGTTTATATGGATAATATGGTCAGTAGCTTATTTACAGGCGAAATAAAGCTGTAGAATAAACACCGAAATGTCAGTACCAGTCCATGAGTGCCAGTGCCTGTGGGTAATTTGGATAAAGACGTACTGTTGAGTTGTACCTAGTCTGCAGTGATAAGCTTGTATAACACATAGGTTGTATAGTGTTTTGTTATTATGTTAAACTATGTTGGTAAGAATTTGTGTGTATATGTACCTTGAAAAGTGGAGATGCCTATACTTCTTCCCAGTAGTACAGGCAGATCTGCCTCTATTGCCATTTTAGAGGCAATTTCATGCCCTTCTATTTCTCCGAAATCCTCCCATAGAGTGAAGAGAAACTATTTTTTCCTGAGAGTGTCACAACAGAAGGTGGGAACAGTTAGTAGGGAGAAATTGCATAGCTCATAATTGATGATGGCAAGAAAGAAATGGGAAAACTGGTTACTGATGCAGAATGTTTTGGGGAAAATAGGAAGATAGAATGTGATATGTTATGCTTACTGATTGTCACAAAGCGTAAGTTCTCGACACCTATGATGACTGCGACCTGCGTGCTTTTGGGGTCCACAACGAAGAACGATTGCCAGTATATCTGTGTATATAATACAAAATGAAAGGTTGTAAGTGTTCTGTAGGAGCGCAGATGTATATTTCAGTGTCGTAATAGTTGGCAGGAAGGATATACCAATTTCAGCAGCAGAATCAACCATTAGATCAGGAATGCGGTCGAACCCTGTGATATTCAGCTTGGTTGGCGGGGGAAGTGGATTTTCAACCTCATTAGATGGTTTGATTTGTTCAATGACTGTTTCCTTGTCAAGAATCCAGTAAAACTGATGTATTGGCTTGCCGTATGAAGTTGGTGAGAGCTTGGCTCTTGCAGTAGAGATGAGGTAGGTATTGAGGAGTCTTAGCTTAGCTGCATACTACTCAATTTCGTCAGCATACATAACTGCCCTAATTTGGCATTCCTGAAAGTAAGAGTTATAGAAAGTTTGGATTAAGTAAGTTAAGACAAAAAGAGCAGTATTGATAAGATAAAATGTAGTAATGACATTACCTTTTCATCTTCCAAAATTAGATTTTGGAATGTGCATTTCTTGTCAAGGCTTTCTCGTGGGCGGCTTATTTCCACAATTTGAACTTTGCAAATCCAGTCTCGTGTTGCTGGTTCTATTTGGTCGATGTTCAATCTTAGTACCATGTTTGTAGGAAATAGAGTTAACCAAATAGGACTATCTGCAGGATAACATAATTATTCAGGTGAAGTAGTTGGTTTGTTTTCTTTTTATGAACAGGGTTGTTTAGGAAAAAGGGAGATATGAATGAAAGGAAAGGAGCAGTGTGGAGTAAAGTTGACCGTGTAGCTGCAGGAATGATGTTTTGAGGTAGTAACAAAGTAGTGAGAAGCTGGGGTAAAAGCAGTTTAGGAGAAACAGTGAAGCGAAAGCACAAACGTAGAGAAGAGCGCATAGAGGCTGGCATAGTATTCACTGTTGGTGCCATGTTCATGTTGTAACCATTTATGTGCTATTATTTGTTTGTCAAATATGTGAGAGAGCAGTACAATGGCAGATTGTGAAAGTAGGAGATTCACAATGTCATAGAAACAAAGGATTTACAGGCAAAAGGATGAAACAAAGTATATTACTTCAGAGTTGTAGTTGTTACTATTTGGTGCTATAAGATATAAACTACAACAACAACATACCTAGTGAAATCCCACTATCTAGGGTTTGGATATAAGATATAAACTACAGAAACATAATAAAGTTTGTATGGGAAAAAACCGGAACAAAATAAACAGCAAATGGAAAAAAAACCAACAGTGTTGTCATAGTAAAAGTACAGTGATGTGTAAATCTGTTCATTATTAATGTACAGAGCACAGTTGGAGGACTATTTTTTCACCGAAAATCTGTTACAGGGACAGTAAATGTTTCAGAATATTAAAACATGAACAATAATCTGTGAAAGCTGAGTTAAACCACTATATATTTGGGAAAAATAATATGAAGAAACTTGAAAAAAGTTGGTTGGACATGGTATTTTGTATGATAAAAATGTCTTGTATAGCACATCAATTGATAAAGAAATAAGCACAAAAGAAGAGATGCAGAAGCAATAGAAAAATGCTCAAATTTTCATCATTCTGATGAAGACTTAGTGTTTACTATTGGAAAAGATGAGAAGGGAAGAAATAATACCTGACAAAGGGAGCAGAATTTGTTGTTCACTGAAAGGCCACAAAATTTAGGTTGTATGAGTTAATATATATATAAGGGTAATATTATATATTATATATATATATATATATATAAAAGTATGTATTACCTTACCCTTATCTAATAAGAAATTTGTTTTTTTGAAAAATATATATATATATAGAAATTATAAAGGACCAAAAAAGTACATGTGTCTTGTTACAAATTGATGGGGTTTTGTTGCCAATGAAAGGGTGCCAAAAAAGACAGAAAAACAGTACATTGGGCAGGCAAAAAAGAGACCAAATTATTACATTTGACTACCTAATGTAATAATTTCTTTTGATTTTTGGCATAATTTCATTGGCAGCCAAAACTGCCTGAATTTTGGAAAAGGCAGATGTAATTTTTTTTGTCCTTTGTAAATAACGAAAAAAAAATGTATCTAT